TTGTAAATATTTCAAGTTTTTATCTCTGTGTTACAAAGTTTTTGTGATCGTCAATAAACTACGTGCTATTTTTAATTTGTATTATGTTATAACTATTTCAACAAGTTTTTTGTTGCCTAGAGGATTATATTTCATGATGCCCCCTAATATAAAAAAAGAGGTTTTATTTGTCTGCCATCGTTAGGAACAAATAACAAGGGGATATTTGTTTGTTTAGGCTTTGTAGACCCAAAAGGGAAATTTTATTTGGCGTCGAATTTGTAAAATTTAACGCAGATGGGAGTAGACGAATAGATTTCAACGGGCAACGTGTACAAGAAGTCGAAGAAGAGATTTGAAACGGGCAGACGCTACAATGTGAGTCGAGCTAAGGAAGTCGACGGTTAAGTTTGAAAAGATTTAAAATGTAAAATGTGGGGCAATTTTTGAATCAACGGCTCGATTCAATTTTTTGTGATGTCTTTGAGACCAGTTAAAATGATGATACCTACTCTTTGCTTTGCAGAAGCAGTTTTGGCAGAGTAGTCATTAGATTTGTATAGATACTGGAAATTTTTGAAAAGTATTATATAGGATGTCCCACAGCCGTTTTTCTTGTTTGATCCAGCCCATTTACGTCAGATCGGCGTTCCAAATTATGGAGATGGTCTGCTTTTGTTCCTGAGTATGGAAATGGTTCCCTTTGTTCGAGAGTTTCGTCCTTGCAGTTTCAGTACCAGAGATGTAGCAAGTTTCAAGGTTTAAGTGCGAAATATGTAAATTTTAAGGTAACAATTCAATATATTAATGTTTCAAAGTAAAGACAGACATTTTTTTGGCTAAAGTAATAATTTCTTTCATAACAAATTAAACTTTTAATAATAAATATTGTAAATCTTGGGGTGTGGTCTTAGCTGTCATTTTATTTGTTCAGTTTTTAAAATTCAATATTGACCTGTGACAGCTAGTTTTATTATTCTTTTTTGACATTAGTTGGTTATGGATTTTTAAATAAGGTTAAATTTTCACCATCCTCTATGGAAGGACCACCTTCCATAGATGTATTAATCCGCCAATGAATAACTAAAATTGCTTATAAAGAGAAATAGGAAGAATAAGATGAACACAATGACACAATGAAGAAAAATATCGTTGATCCACAGCTACAAATTTGGAATAATACCTATATGAAAGTCTTTCGAGCAGATTTGCATGTACGTCAAGGACATAGTCGTAAGGGAAGTACTTAGCAGATTCCAAAATTCCATATTAAACAAAAATAGAAAAAGAATTTTATCAAGCAAACAAAAATACCATTACTTTATTGTACTTTGTTTAGTTACAAATCTGTGTGTTTTTAATTTGTTTGCAAAACTGGATTCGTAACTTTCTACAATCATTAAAATAACAATTGACGTGTTTCGATATATTTGTGTCATAATTTCCGACAAATATAATTGATTTTTTTTTTCGTGAACTTGAACTAAAGTTGCTGGTTAATAAATTACCTATCCTAAGGTCGATTTTAATTTATATTTGTGTGTACACTGTGATATTTCTAATTGCAATACGATCTCTGTGGCTATGAAAACATTAAAAAACCGCATGCATTATCTGATGTGAAACGCGTTGTTTGGATAAATCATATGTTTAATATTTTATATGTATTTTTATGATTTTTTAATGCTACTTATGGATTTAGAATAACTTTGTATCTGCGTGATGACGTCAAAAAATTTTTTATTTGTCCTCTTTTGTCCTGATAATTTTGGTAATGCCAATAGTTATGCTCCATAAATCAATACAAATGTTTATGTAATTATCTTTAGTAGTATTATTTTATATTTTCTGTAAATGTACCTACGATATTAACCAAATATGCATTCTTTATCACGAATTAATTAAGTACATCAACAAATCTACCAAAGATTAGAGGATATAATGTTATCTTTATCTTGATATTTAGATTGTTTATATAGATAGATAAAACCCAATCCAAGACAAAATCTATTAAGACCTTATTTGACAAAATGAAGAAACGACTCTTGGCTCCCATTTCTTCCTTTATTTAAACATAAAATAGGAATTAGCTGCAATCTAATTGAAAATAGGGTATATTTGAAATTTCTATTTCAACTTAGAAAATCGTCCTTCTTTCACCCAAAATTCACCTGTGTGTTGAGGTGAATCAGTAAGCATTCTGCGAGATAAAAATCGATCTTCGAGTTTGCCCATGAAGCTTTGTAAACTTGTTGCCTTCAGAAACTTCGAAGAGGTACACCGATTGGCGGTCCAATTAATAAAGGTGATACTTCTGGTGCAAAAGTTTGGTGAAAATATTGAACCAGAGATTTACCAAGTTGTAATCTAGACGATATAGGGTTTAATATAAAAATGTTGCCAGCAGAATCTTTTCTAGGCAGTAGGAAGAGTCTGCTTGTGGATTAAAAAAAAACAAAGAACGTACTCCTTTTCGGTATATTACAAACGATGGACCAATGAGTGGTGAATGCAAAAAAGACTGTACGGGCATAAACCTATTGCTGAAATTCTGTTTAATTCAGAAAGTGAAGACTAAGGTCCATTAGAGGCCATCAAAAAGATCAATATCAAAGAAGTTATCTAGATGTTAGCTACCACGTTTCAATAAATACCCTCGTCAACGTTTGTCATATATTGGAGAAAACTTTAGCCAGATATTAAGAGTCTAGTAATAACGAATGTTGCAGGGACTAAAGAAGAAGAAAACAAATCAATTCTATAAGATCTTCAGAAGTTATCGGGTAATCAGTCATGACAGCAGAAGGTGTGCAACATTGAACTATACTATTTGACGATAATCTTGAAAATTAATTTTTAAATGATAATTAAATCCTAGATTTAGCAACCAACAAACCAAAGGAAAATAAGAAGAGTATTTGGTGAAGAGGAGAAAATGATTTCGCATGAAGAAGCCATAAATGCAATGGAAATCGGAAATTGAAAAAAAAAAACGGATTCGGAAAAGTTATTCCATATGATACACAAAATGTTTGAGAGAGCACTGAATGGAGAAGACTTACCAGCAGAATGGACCCAAGCATATATGACATCAATATACAAGAAACGAAATAGAAAAAAACTGCGAAAACTATCGGGGAATCAGCATTATATCGTCTATAGGCAGACTGTATGGAAAGACCATACAGAAAAAATTAGAAATATATATACAAGATAAAATCGGAGAAGACCAGGCAGGTTTCACAGCGGGGAAAGCATGCTTAGATCACATTTACACGGTCGAACAACTAATAGAAAAAATAATGCCCAAAAATAGATCCGTCCATCTGGCTTTTGTTGATCTTAAAAAGGCATATGACTCAATACCTAGAACCAAGCTATGGGAAGCAATGGAAGACATCGAAGTTCCACGACGATTAATAAACGCGGTAAAAGCACTCTACAAGAATAACGAAGTAGCTATCAAAACAGGCAATAGAATATGCAGTCCATTTAAAACGACAAAGGGACTACTACAGGGCTGCTCCATATCCCCCACCCTGTTCAAAATATTCCTGGAAAAAAACCTGAAACCATGGAAAAGAAAGTGCGAAGGAATGGGTATACCAGTAAGGAACGAATATCTATATACGCTAAGTTTTGCTGACGACCAAATAGTGATCGCACAAGACGAGGATGACCTCAGTTTTATGATGAGAAAACTGGAGCAGGAATATACAAAGAATGGGATGGAAATAAACCTAAAGAAAACTGAATACCTAACAACGGAGAATACAGAAATAAAACAGCTGAAAATAGACGAAGGTAAACAAATCAAAGGAACAGACAAGTATAAGTATTTAGGTTTCATAATATCAAACAAAGAAACAACGGAGGAAGATATAAAAAATAGACTAGGACAAACAAGAGACTGCATACAAAAATTGAACCCGGTACTATGGGATAAGAACATCAGCATGAAAACAAAGAAAAAAATATATAATACCATGACAAGAAGTATCCTCACTTATGGGTGTGAAAATTGGACAATAAATAAGAAAACCAAAAACAAAATAAGAGCAACAGAGATGGAATTCCTAAGGAGAAGCTGCAGAGTAACAAGAAGAGATAGAATAAATAACATGGAGAACAAGAGGAGAATAGGAATGAACTCCGACATAATAGACTACATCGAACAGAAGAGGTTAACCTGGTACGGACATGTCAGAAGAGCAGACCAAAATCGGTGGATAAATAGAATAACAGAGTGGAGCCCGATAGGAAGAAGAAAGAGAGGCAGACCCCGAAGATCTTTCAGAGATGAACTGGACGAAGCAATGAAAAGAAGAAACCTACAGGAAGGGGACTGGTTAAACAGGAAAAATTGGAGAAAACGGTTCGAGTGAAGGAATACAGTGAAAACTGTGGAAATCCTTGTATATATAAATTGCATTAAAATACTAAATTAATCTAATAATTTCTAAAATATATAAAGAGAGAGCTTCTGCAATGTATTATTCTACTGAGACCAAAAAGATATTTGATGGCAACATGATTTATAAGTACAACAAAATGTATCATTACATCGAGAAAATTTAGAATTTAGACCGGATAGAAGTTTTGGTTAGAACTAGAGATCGAGATTCGGTTTGTGGCAGCAGATTCAAGGAAGGAGGTTAGCGAATGAATCGACAATCGGATCCAGGTCAGTTTTAGAACAATATTAAAGAGAGCGAGTAAGTTAAGATAAATAGTATAGGCCATTTAGTAAAGCGGATAAAATTTAAGTTGCCCAGTTTTTCCAATTCTATTGTGTTAATAAACATTTTCAAAGGTGTTGCATCAATAAATTTGATTTTTTTACAACAATTTACATTTCTTTCATTTCCTTCTGCTGAACCCATAGGACCCCGCAAAGCATTTGATTTAAAGCTGGCCTATCTAATTAAGATCATTGAAATATATTTTAAATGAATACTGACTAAATTAATCAATTGTTTGGCTAAGTCAAATTATTAAAAGCTTATAAATTCAGTACTTACGATTTTCCCACCGCCATATTCCCAAAATTTAGCTATAGGTTTAAGCATATTTCTGAAAAGAAAAAAAAACAAAAATTATTATTGAAATATTTGAAACCGTTTATTCTAATTTGCCCTAATTCAGAAATATTTTATTAATAATATTACTGTTGGAGAACTATATCTCCAACCAATAATTCTATTTGTATCAAATAATTCTATTTTCGCGTCGGTTACCTAAATAAATCCAGTCTACCTAGACCTTGTTTCTGTGACGCGAAGCAGACCGGCTTTTCAAAATGAATCAACAAAAAAATATTCCAGCGGGGCGAGGGAGGCGACCAGTCGACACCTACAGTGATTTAGCGACTTTCGTAGGGCTAACATCTATATTTCAAAAGTTCGAGAGGATTCTCCACGTTGCAGTTTACGCAATTGACCGGGAAGCCGTAATATGTGAATAAGTGTTATGGTGTTTTCGTTTTTGTTCGCAAATTGTAATATTCAAATTAAGTTCCTACGATAAGTTCACACTCAAATTTTATGAGCTCTATTTCTTTCCTTTCTTTTTTCAATTACAGTTTCTTTCTAAACAAGTAATTGTTTTATTTCACTATTCAATTCAACAGGCCAGATAAAAGCAACTTTGAAACTGTGTTGTAAACCGGCACCCTCCAATTACTTAATAATTTACGCACGAACGTAAAAATTGTTTTTAATATAATATATAAGTCTACATATAAAAGAAGCATGAAAATCCTCGTATTTCCATTCTACGGATCATGCTTTGGTTCATGATTTAAACGAGGAAGAACTTCATTCCCCAGGGTGTTTTATTTACTTTTGTTTCAAATTTTCGATAATGGCATATCTTGATATTAAATCGTCTTGGTATAATAAATACATTCTAACAAAAGCAGTAATAACTAAGTAACTAAAATGTATAAAACTACTAATAAGCGCAAACAACAATATATGACTGATGAAATATTAGAACTAATGGAAAGCATACCAAAACAGAAAAATAAAAACACTGAAAAATACAATAGAATCCATAAAGAGATCAGAAGGAAAATTGGGGATGCAAACGAAAAATGGTACAGCAACAAATGTCTTGAAATAGAAGAACTGCAGAAAAAGAATGACACGTTTAATATGTACATACCAAAAGGCGAAAGAAACAACTGGAACATATAGATTAACTGCAAGTAGCTTACTTGATAAACAAGGAAATAATATAGTTAATAAACAAGACAGATTAGAGAGGTGGAAAGAATATACTGAGGAGCTGTTTGATCACGAGAGAACAGAAATTCAAATCGAAAATATATCGACTGGTCCAGACGTAACACTCGATGAAATGAAAAGAGCTGTAAAGCTATCAAAGAATATGAAAGCAACCGGTACAGTTGAAATTCCAAGCTAACTAATCAAACTACTCAACTTATTTATTTTATTTAGCGTATGGATAATTACAATACGATAAAAGTAGTATTTAGATAATAATTATGTTCAAATTGGAATTGTAACCTAAGTTAAATATTAAATATTAATGTCCAAATTACACAGTCATTCAATTGCACCAGGTGAACACTCTGCAAAATTTGAAGGTCTCCGCTGTATCTGCGGATTGGGCAATCTGCTATGATGTGTTGGATGGTCTGTCTCGGGATCCACAATCACATTGTGGGCTTTCTGCATGACCCCATCGGTATAGAGAATCGGCACATGTGCCATGACCCGTGCGTATGAGATTTAATTTTGTCCATATAGGGCTGGCAGGTTTGATCCAGTGAAGCCGATCGACGTACTTGTTATTTTGATGACGTCTGGCTCTGTTGTTGGCATCCATCTTTTCGTCCTCTGCTCTTGCTTATTGTAGCTATCACCCATTCCCTGAACGGATTGGACAGGGGTGTCGTCTGGACTTCAGTCTTTGTTGGTCTCGTGCGGCGTGCGGAATATACTGGTGAATTGACAGACGATGATTTGCCATGATTTTTTGATATTCTCTGACAAGTGCTGCCGTTCGCCGAATATCTGGAGGTGCTATATTGCTCCGATTGGAAGCCATCTTAGTGGAGTTGATTTAATAGTACCAGATATTACTCTTATAGTGTAATTTAGTTGAACATCAATCTTGTTGACATGAGCGCTATTTAGCCATTACCGGTGCGCAGTATTCAGCGACAGAATACACCAGGGCCAGTGAGGAGGTTCGAAGTGTATCCGCAGTGGCACCCCATGTCGTTCCAGCAAGCTTTGTTTATTATGTTGTTACGGGTTCTCACTTTGGCACCTACATTCGTAAGATGGGTTTTGAACGTCAGTGATCTGTCGAGCGTTACACCCAGGTATTTAGGGTTGTTATTATGTTTCAAAGTCTTGCCATTGAAGATGATGCTAAGGGTGTCATTCGAAAGCTGATACTGAAACTACTCAACGATAAGGGTAAACATTATCTTCTAAGCCTCTTCCATAAAATATACGAAACAGGACATATAATAACAGACTGGCTATTGTGAACATTTGTAATTATACCTAAAAATGGCAAACAGTGTAGCGATCATCACACTATCAGTCTGATGAGTCATATACTGAAAATCTCCTAAGAATACTGCACTCGAGAACTTACAACAAATAGAAGTACAACTAAGTGAAACACAATTTGGTTTCAGAAACAACCTTGGAACCAGAGAAGCACTCTTCAGTTTGCAGGTCATGGTTCAAAGATGTAGGAATATCTAAAATCGTATATACGTGGTTTTTTCGAACTTGGTGTCTTGTAACAGGGGAATTGATACCAAGACCTCCGTATTATCAAAAATTTGTATTGACATAAATTGTGCAAACATACGAATTGGACACAACACGACGAAAGCAGTGGAAATTCGACGTGGAGTGAGACAAGGATGTATTCTATTGCCTCTATTTTTTAATATCTACTCCGAATTTATTTTCAAAGAAGCCTTAGTTGAAAATAAAGGCATTAAAAGCAACCATAGTATTTAAAACTATGTTGTGATGTTTAAATATTTCTCAGATAACCTACATGGCATCGTAAGACTCCCACTAAGGGTGGCTGCTCACCCTCAGACGATGTCTGAATTAGGAAATCGTCTGAAGGTTTACAACGGTATTCCTTTTAACTTAAAAATACTGTGAATAGAGATAAGGCTGATAGAGACATTAGCTCTAACATTTAAACTTACTGCGGAGTAATACGTACTTAACCCAAGATAGCCTAGCGGGAAAATTTTTGACAATGGGACTCTAACAAAGGAGTTTAAAGATTTATCTGATAATTTTTCGACTGTTTTAACAACCATTCAAATTTTGTCATTTTGTGTCATGTGGAACAATTTCACCCAATCATGTCAACATTAGACTGATAATTGCATTCAGTGCAATTTTCAATCCCTATGACAACACGATCGAGTTTGACAACTTCATCCAAATAAATTTCAAAATGCCACGTTTCGGCAATGAGAATGAGTAACAAATCACTCGAATAGATCAACTGCTGTTAGCGAATTAGCAAAAAGTGGTGTAGAAGAACAACAATTGCTAAAAATTACTGGTCATGGCAATCAGAATTCTATAAAACCATACTTGAATCTCGATCAAGAACACCGCAACAAGATTATAAATATTATGCGTGGTAATAGATCTTCAATAGTAGAGAACAGCAACGAATCTAATGTTAACTTAAATTGTAATAATTGTACTTACACTCACTGTACTTTTAATAAATAAATGTTTCGTTATATTGAGTTATCATTATTTTTTCAAAAAATTATCCGCCGAATATCCCTCGGACATTGATGAATGCCTCATAATTTCATGACAAATTTCTCAAGCTCGTTTCTTGGTAACAGCACTCAGCCTTCTGTTACCAAGGAACGAGCTTCCGATTGTCCATGAAATTATCTCGTCTGTTATCAATGTTCTAGGGATATTACTAGAGATATTACCCTGAAGATACAAGGGAAGAGAAACCCCAGGACGACGCAAAATGTCCTGGCTAAGAAATTTGAGAGAGTGGTTCGGCTGCAGCTCATTAGAATTATTCAGAAATGCGGCCAACAAAGTTAAAATAGCGATGATGATTTCCAACCTCCGCTAGGAGAAGGAACCCGAAGAGAGAAGAAGAGGGATATTACTACTGATAATAAATTCGATATAATATTTGGTTGATATGTATTAACCTGCGAAAAAATACTCTATTAGTTTTAGCGAAACTTTCGCCACATAATTTCGAGCTTCATCAGAACTCGCTAGAATGAAAAAATATTATTAACAACAGAATATTATAACAATGTATAAACTAATTCATTGTTCCAATAAAATCTTCGCAATGATAACGGTTTTTATAGTTGCATAATAAATATTTTTTTATGAAACTAAATTAACCAATTCGTTTTTTAAGTATTTGCACATCACCTTTTCACTACAATAATAGAGTATTGAGATTTATAATGTATTTTTCGTGCGGTCGACCAATCTTGTTAAGTGTGCAAAAATTATAAAATTTTTCAATTGAGTAATGATTTAAGCTTAAATAATTGCCAGTACCATGAGTAGTTATGGAACAAATACAAAAAATACTTTTTAAGTTGAAATTGCATAACATCGCACCGGTACGCTATTTCTAATTCTTTTAGCAATACAGTGTAACGATCTTTTGCCTAATATTTCAATATAAAGGTTGTCCTTTGCCCACTACATTTGCATGGTGTGCATTTATAGAAGAGAACATACCATTTACAGAAACTTTAAAGGTCCTTTGAGACAAAATTTTGTATGAAATGAAAAGCAACATAATATCAAATCATGAGTTGTTGCTTGTGTGAGTCCATTTCAAATAGTAAAGAAATAATAAAATAAGACTTACAATCAATTTAATTTAACTATCCGACGATCGGTTTCGCTTCCGAAACCGAAACCGGTCGTATGGATAGTTAAGTCTTATTTATTATTTCTTTACCTATTTTCAACATAATATCATTGGAAAAAATTTCCGATGATATTATGTTGCTTTAGATTTGCGATTATAGTGTGTTGAATGCCTTT